TTTTTTCCTTCTCCAGAGCCAAACAGAGCAGTGCAGCTTCAGCTCCCCCAGTATTTCAGGCCTTTGTGGGTAGGAAAGCATTTCCTGCTCAGAGGATTGGGGATGAAGAGCCCGGTTCCATTCTTAGCCTGAGCAGGGAATTTGCTTCCTGCTTTTCTGGAGCAGGAGATTAACTCGGAGTTAGGAGGAGCAGAAAGTGGCCTTGCTTCATGAGATGGCCAAGGATGAAGAGGATAAAGGTTTTTTTGTTTTCTTTGTTTTTTTTTTTTTTAACTAAGGGCTGAAATAAGTGTGGAAAAGCCAGGGTCGTGTTCAAGCTGTGCCACGTGGGCACTTGGAAGATTTTGGGAGGGGGTGTGTTATGGGATTCCGTTCTTGTGGAGTTTTAGGGGTTTCCAAGAGAGCAATCCCAGGTGTATCTGGGTGTCCCTGACACCTGGAATTCGGGATTCCAGGATCTGGGAGGGATCTCAGGCGTGTCCTTGACACCTGGAATTCAGGATTCCATGGTCTAGGAGGGAACTCAGGTGTGTCCTTGACATGGAATTGAGGATTCCAGGATCTGGGAGCAATCTCAGGTGTGTACTTGACATGTGGAATTCGGATTCCAGGGTCTAGGAGCAATCCCAGGTGTGCCTGGCTGTCCTTGACACTTGGAATTCAGGATTCCAGGGTCTAGGAGGGAACTTAGGTGTGTCCTTGACACCTGGAATTGAGGATTCCAGGATCTGGGAGCAATCTCAGGTGTGTCTGGGTGTCCCTGACACTTGAAATTCAGAATTCCAGGATCTGGGAGAGATCTCAGGTGTGTCCTTGACACCTGGAATTGAGGATTCCAGGCTCTGGGAGCAATCTCTGGGTTTCCCTGATGTGGAATTCAGGATTCCAGGCTCTGGGAGCAATCTCTGGGTTTCCCTGATGTGGAATTCAGAATTCCAGGCTCTGGGAGCAATCTCAGGTGTGTCCTTGATATGGAATTCAGGATTCCAGTGTTTAAGAGGGATCTCAGCTTTACAATCATTATTTTTTTTTTTTTTAACACTTTCTCTCACACAGTTACAATTTAATGAGCACGGCTCCCGTTTTTTTTTTTCACCAGGAGAGGATGCCAGCGAGCACTGGGACGGCGAGAAGCCGGTGCTGGTGGCTCCGGAGGGCAGCACGGTGACCCTGCCGTGTGTCAACCGGCAGCACATCTGGACCGAGAGACACAGCGAGGAGGAGCAGCAGGTGGTGCACTGGGACCGGCAGCCCCCCGGCGTGCCCCAGGTGAATCACGCCTTTAAAAATGTTCACTTTTTTGCTAAGGGTAAAATTAGTTTCCGTGGCCAGGATGTAAGGTAGGTGAAGGGTTGGTTAATGATCGCTAGATGTTTAGGTTAGAGCTAATTGGGATAATTAGCTGCTTTGTTGTAGCCGTGGGAAGGGGTTTTTATCCCTTTAAAAAATAAGATGCACAGCTCCGTGGTCGTCTGTCGTGATAGAAAGAGCCAAGTTGATTCAGGAACACACTCGGTTTTATAGCAGGACTGCAACTCCCAGAGCAGAGAAAAGGAGATTGGTTCAGAGAGAAGACACCCCATGGCCAGGGCCTGGGCACACACCACAACAGGGGTTTGATTTTGGTATTAATTCCTTTGTATTGTGACCAAATTATCACCCAAGCCTCGAGCTGGACCGGGAACAGAGCTGAGAAGCTCCAGCCTGGAATATTTCTCAGGCTGTAATTTTCTTAATTTCTCAATATGTGTCCCTACACTTTATAAATTCACGTACAGAAGAAGGTAAAATAATAAACTGTTAATCACGAAGGATGAAGCCTTGGATCGTGCCAGGGGGTCACCGAGACCTGATGAAGACTCTCCTGACTTCATCCTTCGAGACCACCGACCCAAATTCAAGAGCAGAACCTCGCACGCGTGAAGGACGAATGGGGTCGTTTTAATATCAGATGGGGATGGGAGGTGCTGGGCTTATGAATATGTATTTTATGTAAAATATCGGGGAATAAATAGATTGGAAAGGACCTCACGCCTTTGGGAGGTGACTCCCGTGTCCCCGCCGGTGAATAAACACGCGGGGTGACGCAGGCACGCAGACAATCAATAGGATTGAGAAAATGATTGATAAAGCAAGCTCCGTTTATCCTGTTCCAATGGCTTTTTATTCGCTTAGCAAGCAACAGGCGCAGCTGTCCCGTTCGGATTGCTTGCATACACATTTCTACCTTAATGTTTGCTCTTTCCAAGGTTCTTCCTTGTCCTCGTGAGAAACTTCTCTAAGGTTACACAGAGCAGGATGACAAAATCACAGTGTCCTTGTCACATCACTTGCAAAATGATGTTACAGCCAACATCTTACTCTGATCAACGAGGTTCCAACAACGCCTCCAAAGACCCGCGACCGCGATCATCAAACGCGCCGCTTCCTCACTTTAATCCATCACAGGGGTTTTGCCCGTGATTAGAGCTGGTTTTTTTGTTTGTTTTTTTGTTTTTTTTTTTTTAACGATTGGCAGGACCGTGCTGACCGCCTGGTGGATCTGTACGCGTCCGGGGAGCGCCGCTCGTACGGCCCGCAGTTCCTGCGGCAGAAAATGAACGTGAGCCGCGCCGCCTTCGCCGCCGGCGATTTCTCGCTGCGCATCTCTCACCTGGAGAGCGCCGACGAGGGAACCTATTCCTGTCACCTGCACCACCACTACTGCGGGCTGCACGAACGCAGGATCTACCACCTGGCCGTGCTGGAGCCGCAGAGGGACAGCAAGGTGGTGAACATCAGCAGCGACGGCA